CTTTAAAAACACCTTTTAATGCTTTATCAGCAAAGGTGACCTATGGATTTTCTGATTGAATTTCTGATTCATTATTAAGTATATTCCACATATCACGTAAATCTAGATTTTGGAGAAGAGATTTCAGAGGATTATCTTCCCAATAATACTTTGGAGTAAATTTGATGTTAACAAGTAATGATAATGTATGAATAATCTTATTGCATAAAAGTTTGTTATATTGGATAATAGCACATTCAGTACACACATTTCATTTTCAGAAATTCCTGTACAAGTTTTTACATGAACAGCATTACCTTATTTGAAAGAATTATTAATAAATTTAATTTTAAAATTAAATAAACAGTATATTAAAAAATTAATTACATACTTGCCCAATCAATTTTCCATACAGATTCTGTAAATAATGTGCAATTCAATTGCCTTTTTTGTCTTGCATTCAACCTTTTTCTACTAAATTTCTGTAAAAACAAATTTGGAAAGAGTTCACATGCAATAACCTCAACACGACGAGAACCACCAAACTGTGCGAGAGTTTGCTGAATATATTTTGATATTTCTGCAGATCGAAGACCAATACAGTAATATCTTTTTTTAAAATTTTTTGCATTTACATTTGAAGTTTCTAAAGCTGGTAGTTCTTGCACTTGATTTTCATCGATTGGTTCATCAATTTAGATTAGATCATCATCATCCATATTATCGTATACATCAGAATCATATTCCTCTTCAACTTCAATTTGTTCTACTTCTTTTGGTTTAAACCAATTATAAATTATCCTTTAGCCTTCGTCAGCTTTACATCCAGAATGCCGAGCATGATAGTCAAAGTAATCGTCTTTCCATTTTCGCTTAAGTGTAATTTTTTTACCACAAATACATATTACTTTCTTGGGATGTATAATATAAGCAACGTGTTTATGCTTAGAAAGTCTTTCAAAACTATGTTTCCAATATAAGCAACGTGTTTATGCTTAGAAAGTCTTTCAAAACTATATTTCCAATTATTTGGCATATTTAAAAAATATAACAAAATAAAGTAAAAAAAAACTTAAAATTATTTTCTTTTGAAAAATTTTTTTTTTCGAAACAAAGAACCGATTATCAATACCAGTTGATTTACAATTATATCAACATGTTTAACCAAATAAGTGCATAATAAATTTATATATGATCTGCTAAATTTAGACTAAAAATACGCAAACTAAATTTCTAACATATCAAAATTTTAATTAAAAATACGCAATTTAAAGATCTGATTATGAACAAAAAATTCTTGAATTGTACGCAAATCAAAATCTTACCCCGCCTAACTCCACTATGATGATGATGTATCAGTGGACCCTATCCCTATATATATATTTCTGGGTCCTGACGCATCCTCTTTGGTCGGGTGGTCGTTATATTCGGAATTAACTGGACATTTAGGTTTTTTATAGAGTCATGTTTAGTTGTTTGTAAGTTTCTATTTGTACCAATTCCCTACTTCAGGTGTTGTTTTTAGTGTTAGAATTTTCTTTTGAGAGAAGTTAGGGTTTAACAGACATTTAGAAATTAGATGCTTTCTGACACTTTATTTCCATCCCCTTCAGGGAGTGGCAGTGATCAGTCGACTCAAATGAGTTTGAAATAGAACCACAGGGGGTAAGTTGCGTATTTTAGTATTTTTTTAGGTTTTTCCTTTAATTTACAATACAAAATAAAGTACTGCGGCTAAACTGCATCGTTAACAATTAAAAAAAAAATATTTTGACTAGTGTACTTCTATCATTATCACTAAAGCTGTTACTAATAAAGTTGCTTTTGTCTTCACCTTAATTACTAAAGTTGCTTCAAAAAAAGTAAATTTTATATTATTTTAAATATTATATTATGAAATAATATATATAGGAACGTTTTTAGTAAAATCAAGTCATAAGATATAGTAAATCATATGATCTGTAATGTGATTTACTAGAAACACCCCTATATATAATATAATATAATAATAATTTAGGAAAATCAAAAAAGCAGAAAATTTATTGTACTGATTTAAAATTAGACAAATATTTAATTAAATTGTAAAAACTATTATTTAATATTATAATTAATTAATTTATATAGAATAAATGAAATTTCTTTATTTTTTATTTTATTTAATGATTAAATATGTAAAATTGCAACCAAAATTATATATATTAAATATTAAAATCTAACCAAAAATAATGTATATAATATATTAATTAGACATAAAAAATATATGCAAAATTACATATATAATATATTGATTAGATATATAAAATCTAACTAAAAATAATATATATAATATACTGATTAGACATATAAAATCTAACTAAAATAATATATACAATATATTAATTAAACATAAAAATCTATGTAAAATTATATATATAATATACTGATTAGACATATAAATCAGTATTTTCTGCATATGGAAAAAGACAATTTTTAGTATTTAGTATATGAAAATATTTATGAATTATTATACAGTTTTTTTACATATATTATACATTTTTAAACATATTATTTTTCTTATACATATTATTTATAGGGTATATATTATATAATTTATTTATATTATATGTTATATATTTATTTCTAATATATTTTTTTATCTTATTTATATAATTAATTTAATTAAGTTTAATAATGTTATTATATATTATTGCTATATAAATTATGATTATTTTTTTTAAATATTTATTTATTAAAAAAGTAAATTAAAACTTAATATCTTTTAAATAAAAATAATTTTTTATTTTAATTTTTATTAACTAATTATAATAAACCAATTTTATTTTTATTTTTATTTAAGATCTATAAATTTTATTTTTAAATAGCTAAAAAATAATAGTAATTATATTAAATATATTAACTTTTTATTTTAAAAAAACTTATTTTATAGATATTATATTATATATAATTAGTTTAATTAATTAAAGTTATAATATATTATTTTACAAGTATTATTTTAAATAAGAAAGACAATATCAATTAATATTAATACAGAATTTAAATACCGTAAATGAAAAATTTAACGGATTATTTAAAAAAATTTAAAAGTATTTATTATAAAATTAATAATAAATTTTTTTTTTTAAAAAAAATTTTATCATATAAATTTACGATTATAAATAAATTGGTATTAATGATTTATTTTAGTAACATACCATGTCTCGAGACTCGATTTTAATAACCCAAAATATATTAAGAAAAACATGATCTCCATCTTTTTAAATAAATAATGACGCTGATCATCATCATCGTAATAAAATTATAATATATTAGGGTAATTTTACCACCCTCCGTTACAGTTAAGGGCCATACATAAAAATTTCTCGTTTCTATTGGTATACAGATAATGACATGATATCATGTCAATTTTACTGTAAATAGCCAATGATTCACTAACAAAAGAAAAAAAAAAGTTTGATGGTTTACCAATCGCCCAATCTAATTTATCAAAATTACCAAATAAAGATTTAATCGTCTTACCCCACAACCTGCAGAATTGCAAGTATTCATTTTAAATATATACATATATATTTTTTCCCACCTTTAAAATAAAAACCTTGGGAATTTTTCGTTGAATAACCGAATTGATTTAAAGGGTTTTTTTTTTGATAAATATTCATTGTTATCGTATCAACACAATCTAACTTTTCATGTATGTAATTTAAGAATAGTACATAGAATATAACCAGTAAATTAAATAAAATAAGGTTACACAACAATACAAAAACAACGTGTTTGAAAGATAAGTAATCAAACATTACGTTTATCTGATAAAGATTATCTTGTGAAAGGGGCTTTTCATGTAGAAAAGCATTTAAATTCAAAAATATTCATTGGAATTTATTCAATTAATGTTGAAAATATTCCTTAACGGTCCCTTTATTGGAGGCTTTTCTGAAGGATAAACTGAAAATGTTCGGCCTATTTGCCTTTTAAAGCATATGTTGATCAGGTAAGGGTTATCATAATAAAAGAGAGAGAAAAAAAGATCTCCAATAGGATTCAACCTTTTACCCACGAATTCCTTACTAAATCATAAGCGGAAAAGTATATTTTTTTTTTTGACAGGTTTGAAATTAAAGCATATGAAAAAGAACATAAATCCGACCAATGAATTTTATTATTTGCAACATGAACTTATTTGCAATATGAACTGTAAATTAAAATTTACAAACCTAAATTTCTCACCCTTCTTTATTTACTGAGAATGTATTTCTTAATTGATCATTATATCATCTACGTGTGAAGAGGGTTGTAGGCTATTGGTATCATTTTTTTGAAAAAAAAAGGAAAAAATGAAATGGGAAAGGATAATCGTTATATTTCCGCAGCCACCATCGTGGTACAAATATAAACTTATGCTGTGAACTGAATGTTCATTAATAAGCGGTAAAACACTAACCCATTTTACAAATAAATTTCATTTAATAATAATAAAATTGTTGGCAGATTGACACATTTCACTTCATTCGTTACATATATATGTATGGCACGGAAAATCACTAAGGCGAATAGCTTTTGTTTAATAAACATCAGAAACGTGATAATCAAAATATTTCACTCAGATGTGACATTTATAAAAGATTGAAGCACTTATTTATCAGTCGATTCCTTATTTCGTAGATTTGATCTTTGTGTGGGGAAAATAATCTGTCTGTGCATAAGTTGTCCATATAATTTTTAGATTAAAGGCTGAAAATATATTAAATCAAATTAAAAAAATCAATAAATAATAGTGTTTTTTGAGATAAATAGACTCGAAATTTATTTAATATTTTTTTTTTTTTCGAAATTTTAATTCTCTGACAAAAAAATTTCTATTTACATTTTTTTTTTAAATATATACTCTATTTTTTTTTGCAACAATGATAAAGAGCAAAAGACAATGCAGTACTCAAATCTTAAACTCAAAACTTAAACCTGATAACCGTGTAAAAGCTCATATACCCATCGAAACTCAAGTAACCCGATTATTTGAAAATGAAATGGTACACGCTGTGTCCGTAGATTATGAACATTCTCCCTTTGTAAATAAAACGGTGTTGGAGAATGTTCAATGTAGTCATGGGTTTATAGCGACGGTATTAGAGGCATATAATCGACATCAGCATTTACGTATCACGCCCGATGATGTATGGTTAACGATAGCCCAAGGAGTTTCTCATCATGTAAATTTAAACGTAAAAAAGTATCAACAATTTTCCGTACAAAATAAACGAAAAATTTCCATCAATGCTAATGGAATATTTGATAGTGAACGTTGGTCAAAAAGAATCGTTGGTGATTGGCCGGAATGTGTTCGGTTATTGGCAGAAAAAGCCGATAAGAAAGTCGAAAAATTCGATTTAATGAAATTATTAGAATGTGATTATTCTACGAGTACAATTACGACATCAACGGCAAGTCGGGTCGTACTTTTAAATTCTCTTGACGTAATTTCGCAAACACAGATTAATTGGACTTGTGGTATACCGAAAGTTACATTGGAAGGAACATTAGAGGATTGGTCACGTATTCAAGAAAAAATTAATATCTTAAGAAGATTACCCTTAGATTTAGATTTTTGGCTTAATCGTTTAGAACCAATTATTTGGCAATTAGTTGCAACTTATCGGGGTGATGTAAACGAAAGGTTTTGGAAGAGAATAGCCCATAAACTTGGTGGCTGTGGCTATGCTCAACAGACGAGCCTAACCTTAAATGGATGGATAACCGCTTTCTTACCATATGATCGACATGGAAATGCGTTGATAGGAAGTTCTATCGATGAACTCGATTTACCTGATGGAAAGGTCGTCATCCCATTTAATGTCAAAGGATATACATCCTTAAAACTAATATCGGGATTTTTAGGGGTTAGACAGGATATTATTGAGGAGAGCGGAGAATTGGTGGTATCTCCGGTTATTGGTTGGGCAGTTGTTGAAGATAGTAGTAGAACAAAGCCATGCTTACCGTGGGTGGGAAGTTTGTTCAAAAGATATTGAAACTGTATTTTGGGGGCAAGGGGGGGTTTCAAATTATCCAATTTAACATTGGTGAATCAGTAAACAAAATTTTCACATAAACAATCAATGAAAAAAAAAATTATGTAATAATGTGTATATTTATTTATAATATAATACTCGTAACGTTCCATATAGTTATGAGACCTCTTTATAATTTAAAAGTTTAATAATAGAAGAATGATTATGTAGTATTTGTTATTATGTAGAATATTTTTCGTGATAAAAAACGTGATAAAACTCGTGTTTGGTGACTTTTGAAATGTTTCTTTTGGCGTACAGGACTCATTGCAGAAAAAAAGAATCAATTCACATAGATGTGCTTATGTAAATATTTATGCTTATGCATGTTTTTTTTCTTAAGGCTTTTACGCGATATAAGAACGACGGAAAAAATTTCGGCATATTTTGGTATCGGAAAGGTTATGATCAGCGCACGTGATTACCATTTTGATCACTGTAACGCGTCACGGACCCGTCTGATTTGTCAAATAGAAGTTGACATTTCCCACAGCAAACAAATTTTTCATGAATTTGAAATTGTTCGTGTGACACCATCTGATTATAAATAATTTTGTTACTATTGTTCATTGCAAACATTATTAAACAACAATGGATTGGTCTTGTTTAATTGTAATAAACCATTGGGAAATTCGTAAAAAAAAAAACAGAATAATCAATATGACATCAGTGATCAAATGTCAAAAAGTCGATCGTTACTTTAAAATGATAATTTTAAATAAATGTTTTTTTTTGTTAAGGAAAAAAGTCTATTTTGGGCACGTCCGACATTCGGGGAAAATATTCTTATGTTTATAATATTAGTCACGTTTTATCATTTTCTATTAACTTACTGCTCATTGTGCCCCTGTTTCACATATATTGCGCCACATTACTACTAAGTTCCACAAACTTTTGATTCCGTGATTTTAACTAATCATAAATTTGATGATTGTGATTTCATTATAATCATTTTGATTTCACCTTTCGATTTCGTGCTCCAAATAATTTTTCTCGGAGGCAATCTTTTCATAATCTGACTTTTCTTATCACGTTACTTTGAGATTTAGCATCAACACTAGTCCCGATTGATATGTATCTTTGCTGCGGAAAAAAACGTCAAAAAAATTGTTACAGGTTATATTTTAGGTTTATGGCCGTGGCAACATGGCGCAATAGTTATACTGATAGATTCTTATGTGCATTTGTTGATTGATTATTAAGAAAAAAAAATGGGAGGAAACAAACATTGCATCAGAATCTTTACGTGATATCAATAATAGTATGCTTTATAACAAGCAACGTATTAACTCTATGGATATATAATAAGGGAACCTTTTTCGCAATTTTGCTTCTCAAATACATGAAATACATTGAAGGCGCTGATCACATTTAATACATTTAATTTTTAACTAAATTATTCGTTTAATGTTTTAAGTCCCTTCATATAAAAATTCCAAGACTGCTTTGCCTTCAAAAAATATCTCCGATCCAAAGTACTTTCGCAAGTATTCACTTTAAAAGGTTTACTAAAGCTTGGAATATTATCGCTTCTGATTTAGTGCTTCACATTAAAATACTTTCCAAAGTTGCGGCTTTGCAAATAGAAACTATATTTTGCATTTTACCAATAAAAGAACAAAAGTCATTTTCCAGATTTTGATAGAATTTGTATCGTGAAGAGAAGCTTTACCCCCGGTTACTTTTGTACAATGTCAAGTAAGTGTGTTAAATAACCTAACACATTTTATTACTCAGTTCATTTTTTTTTATTGCAAGCGAGATTATAATGTCAAAAATATAACTGTTAAACAGCGTCAGTCGTTTGATTTATTGATTTAACTTCTTACATAGTATAGAATAATACATAGTAAAGAATAAATAAAAATTAAAATTATGTAACAAATAAATGTTTATCCGTGTAACAACAATTGAATCAATTAAAATATCATTATTTAAATAAATAATGATTTATTGTTCTTCGTATAAAATGTACATTGACTCTAATTACCGTCACAAGGGGAATGCATTTGGAGACTACTCTTATATACATAAATAAGTTCAAGTTATATACAAAAAAAAAAATGAATGTAGCTTTGAGTGATTAACACCAAAATAATCTGAATTTTTTACTGATGGTATTCACGATTGGAGATTCTTTGACTCTGTTACTAATAATTGCCCAGCCGATGACAGGCTTTACAATAACTTCATCGGAATTTTCAATAAGTTGCTGCTTTACACCTAAAAATCCAGATGCGAAAATTAAATCCTCCGAATCCTTTTCTTCCTTCTCAAGTTTAAATATGATAGAGGCTCTACCATCAGGCAAGGTTGATTCATCTAACCAATTGTTAACCAAATCACCATTACAATCATAAGGAAAGAATTTGGTAATCCAACCCGTTAATTCTGGAGGTCCACCACAACCATAATCTTCCCTTGCGATGTTTTTCCAAAATTGTCTATCAACGTTTCCTTTAAATGTTTCGATAAATTGACAAATAATTGAATCCAAATCATTTAACCAAAAGTCCAAGTCCAAATTAAGATTTCGCAATCGAATCAATTTTTCTTGTATCAACAGCCAATCTTCGATCCTACCTTCTAAAGTAATTTTAGGTATGCCGCAAAATATTCCCATATTATATGAGTAGTAATTCTTCATACTATCAAGTAATATGACCCGACTTGCCGTGATCGTACTTGACGTACTCGTGGAAAAATCACATTCCAACAATGATCTTAAGTCAACCTTTTCAATCAATTTGGTGGTTTCCTCAACAAGATCATCAACACATTTTAACCAATCCTTTGATGCCTTGGATGTGTTATTTCCTTTTAAAGTAATCTTTTCCTTTTCATTAGTTTTAACAAATTTATTTTTTTCCTTTTCAAAATTAAAGTTAATATGAGCGCTAACCCCTTGAGCTATGGTTAACCAGATGTCATCAGGGGAAAAACATAAATGTTGATGACCGTTATAAGCTTGCAATACTGCGGCCACCAACCCATGACGACATTGCATCTTTTCAAGAACCCGAACTTCCTCGCCGGTCGATTCTGAATTCGATTCGGAAGTAACATAAATTTTCTCGGGCTCAACCTCGAATAAATTTGAAATATTTGAACTCATAGATATATGAGGTCTAATTCTTTTGTCAACATTAACGTTTTTATCAAGGATTTGTGTGCTTTTTGGTGTATCCAACGAATAGTAATGCATCATTTGTTTTTAATATAAATGTTGGTTTAAGAAGTTTTTTATTTTTCCTTTTTTCCTTTTTTTTTTTTTTGTTCTGCTATAAAGAGAAAATGAAAAGTTTTTATGTAAATTCTCAATCATTGATATTTCACAAGATAATGGGATATGTTCTAAACGCGTAAAATAAAATTTGGTAAAGAGGAGACAATCATCGTTATCGTCGTTTCACGAAATTAATTTATGTACAAAAACTATTAGTAATCTCTGTTCGTCTAACCTTATTTGAAAACCAATAAGCCTTATCATTGTCATTTATCGATTTCATCATCATTTTAATTGCCTTAAAAAAAAGCAAAAAAAATAATATCGAGAAAATTTTCGTACCATTTTACTTATCTTTATCGAATTTCTTTACGATTTTCATAATAGGATCGATTCTCAATCAAATTTTGATTTTATCGAAGGCGTTTATAAACGTTCTAGTCAATCACTTAATCACATTCATATGATTGAAAGAATTCTGAAATCCAGATTTGAACCTCGTTTTTCTTTCTTAAAACATTCAAAGATACGCGCATGATTCATTAAATACATTAAATATGCAACAAACAATTGCCTAATTGTTAACTTTCATTCCACCTACAGATTGTTTTTTTTACTTAAAGTGATGATCCTCCCTGCGGTGTAATGTGATTCAAAAAAAAAATTTCTTTTATTCAACAAATGAATTGACAACAATCGGAAATTTGAGTATCAAGACACTCTCGATAAAATGTACGTACTATGTACGCCTTCCAAAAATGCATATTGGCTCGGATATAATCCTCGAAATTCTTCTATAAATGTATGTGTACATCCCAAGAACCAATAGGATTTAACTGCGGTCTATCAACTTTTTTATTAGGGATAAAAAAAGGTAATTGAATGCAGGTAAAACCGGATACAATTGGTGTCTCAAAGAAGTAATTGCTTATCTACATAAAATGTACAATATTTCTTGTTCAACTCGATCGCAATTATTAATGAAAAGTCTGAATCTGACCGCCATTATATAAAATCTCGAGAAATTTTAAATCTTTGTAAAAAAGGATTTAATTTATTTTTTTAACAAGCAATCTCAAACATCTTATAAAAGGAGTACATAAAAAGTTAATTAATCATATGGGTCATGGACTAGCAAAACATACCTCTGGTAATTTATTACATTTTTGAGAAAATTGGAATTTAAAATTTTATCGTTTTCATTGTTTACAGTTTATTTTTAGAACAAAAGGACAAAATGCAATATGATGTCACCTAAAAGCATAAAGCATATAATTCCAATTTTAGATCTTTTTTGAAAGAAATTTTTGTGAAATACAGTCAGAACGTTTTTAAAAAAAATCTGTTTATCAACATCTATAAGTTTTATATAACTATATAACGATTTTATAAAGTCAAAAATTTTAAAAAATTCGGTTTTAACGAGATTTTATTAAGTGATCGTTATATCGAGAATCGTTCTGACTGGTATTTCGATAATTTATTATACCTTTGCGTTTAAAAATTACATTATACAGCTTATATAAACATAAAAAATATTTTTGACGGATATAAGTTTTAATAAAGTGATAGGTTATAGAAACATTATTGGTTTACTTGAAAATATAATTGCCGTGATTTATGTGATTTATAATAAATTTTGTGAACCTCTTACTAATATAATATTTAATTTCGGTGATATATACAGTGTACAGGTCAGTATATCAAAATGCGATACGTGAGGGGTGGAACGTAAGAGAATTTTGTACATTCCGATTCTTTGATAATGAGAACTTTAAATTTTTGTTCTATGTAACTCGGTTGTAAATCATAGGAATGAAATGTTCATTTCATTGGGTTAAACGAGCAATTTAAGGCAGTGATTGTGTTTGGTCATTGGCCAAAGGTCAAATCGCTAAAAAATTCTTTGGCCCAAACGGCAATTTATAATTATCCAATTGGTGTTTTGTTATTTTAACGTTGCCCCGTTTGACTGTTTTTTGCCCTTTTATCCATTTGGCCATGACTAAACTGCCAAATTAAAGCGCCGAGGATATGTAGAAATCGGTTATACAAATTTCCAAATACTCCTCATAAAACTTTATCAAGACGATTAACCTTTATCAGTAAGAATGAATATCTAAAATATTCAACAATTCAAGGTAATCAGTAGAGAATTTATGAAAGAATGAAAGAATTGTTTCAGTATCATCGGCATTGTTTTCGAATCCTTTTCAGATGCTTAATGACCGATGCCAACGTGTCGAAATACGTTCATTACATTTTAAAAAAAAAAAAAAATAATAAAAACATATATTGCATGGAAATAAGATTGCGAGTCGATCTCGATAATTTTTTAAACTTTCTACAATTCTACAATTCTTCAAATAATAAGACTTTATTCTCAGTGCCTTTTTTTTCTGCAATTCAGTCAAATTTACAAAAGTTTAAAAATGTAATCTATTTATTTTCTCGACAGCAAATTCCTAATATGAATAAATTTTTTCTTTTAGATGCAATTTTTAATTCCCATATCCATTCAAACTATCATTTAATTTTCTAGTAAGCATTTAAAAAAATAATTGATTTGATTAATATTTAGATTCTTCAGGAAACGTGTATCTAAAATTTATCACGTGTTTGGTTGATGTAAAAAATTATGCCATTACAATTTCAAGGCATTATTAAATTAAAGTACTATTATTTAGAAGCTAATACGTACGAAAAAGCAAAGGTATAAAATTGCTACATATATATATGTTTTAAAGAATTATTTTCGAGAAAATAATTTTTATGATTAAAAAATAAATTGAGGACAACGAACTGTAAGCAAATTCTTTGAAAGTTTAATTCAAAGTTTAAATTATAAATGAATAAACATTTTTGTTCCTATTAAAAAAAAAGGTTACTCGGCGTGTTTGATCTGTGGACGCGGTGCTTGGGGCATTTTACGCGACTCTATTTGGTGATCGATTTTTTTTTTTAAAAAAAAAAAAGCAAATCAAGTTCATCTCTGATATCTGACTCATGAATCCTTCCCTAGCATTTAAAAAATCGATCTATAATTTTCTGATATGTATTAACATATCTAAAATTTCATCAAAAAAAAAAAAATCAAAAAACAGCTACTACTTTCTTAATCGTCATATTTTCGATAAACCAAAAAAAAAAAAATTTAGTAATTTATTTATAATTGAAAAATCGAAAAAAATATTTTAATACGTATTGGGACGATTGATTCAAAATCACACATGGATTTCACAAGATTATTTGTTTTGTATTCCATCTGATGATAAACCCATCAAGACTATTTAAGTAAAACAAGATGGGATTATCATATGATAAGGGGCTTCTTTAATATTACTAAAAAAAAATTCGTCATGTGAATAGAAAAACGATTTGGGGTTTAAATAGATTTTTAATCATTTCAATTTACAAAAGAAAAAAAAAAAAGAGTTCCTATTAAAATGATTCGGTATCATCGATAACATCATCATTTTCATAAACTACGTCATGATCGATTTCTGAACATCCTTCAGTCCCTAACAACATTCCGCAAGCACCACATAAACAAGGATCAGCAGCTTCTAAATCACATTCGGGAGTTATACAAATCGGTCTAGTTTTACAACCAATTTTAGTTTCTTCCCATTGACAACAAGCAAATCTCCATCTACAACCACTTTCACCCAAAAATCTATTACAATATGAACATTGTTTAACACATCCAGTTCCCGAGAAAGGAAGTTGACAATCTCTGCAATTCTCTTCTTTAGACGTCCAAATAACCCCGGCGGCGGCACCGAGTACTCCACCCGCGATCGTACCTGCAGCTAAACCATACGGACCAGCGGCAGAAGCAGGTCTACCAACGGCGGCAGCACCCGTTATCGCACCAGAAATCATGGTGGGCAAGATCTTTCCTGATGAAGGTCTCTTTCTATCGGAATGAACGAGAATGACTGGACCGTAATGATCCCTAACTAAATTACGTGGATGATAATTCTCCATTTGTATATTATGCTTTGGAGGAGGATTTATAAATGGATGACAATATTTATCAAATAAACGAGGATCTCCCAAGCAATTACACCTTTTACATCTTGCATGTACAAAAGTAATTTCCACTCCAAAAGGTAAGTAAGGAATACGTTGTCTAACTTTAACTCCAATTTCATTCTTTGAATAAACGTTCCAAATTAACCTATGTTCCGCCGACATATTCGTATACATTTCATTTGGTAAATTATTTAAATCAAAGATCCAACATGCCAAATGATCAACTTTAACAGTTATATTGCCAGTATCAACAATGTTTTTGTCGTTTATAAATTTTGTCATTGCTAATTTGGCTGCTACTTTAGGTCCTTCGCTTAAATTTGGGGATAACATTGGACCTCTAATAATAATTAATACACTCTTCCAAATATTACCATCAAACTTATCCAAATCTGTGTATTCAACTAATTTTTGTATAAAATTCGCACCACGTTGTAATGTTTGATCACAACGTTCACTTTCCAAGCAAAACCATAATATAACGTCAACTTTGAATTTGTTATCATCTGAATAATTTTGCATTATAGCCAACATGTTACGAAATATTTCCGAGTCATCTCTACCATTACTATCCGAAAATCCTGGTGTATCTATATACCTGTATTTTTCATTTTCATATAACGCTGTTTGTTTGGTTACCGAACTATGACCTTCTCCTGATACTGTATTCACTCCAAAAACAATTCGTCCAAATGTACTTTTACCAGTTCCTGTTCCCCCAATAGCCAAAATGGTTTTTGGTTCTGATCCTATATTTGAAATATGCTAATAATAATAAAAAAATAGCGCGCGAATTTGTTTAACAAATGAAATTTACCGAAATTCATTGTAAAAAAAAAAAAGAAAAAAAAGAAATTCATACCATTTTATTGGCAAGAAAAAAGTGAGAAATACACAAAAAAAAAAATTCCGTTAAAAAATTAGACAATCATGATACATTTTATGCAAATGTCTCAAATCAGCAGTATTTAAATAAATAAAATAAGGAGTATATTGTTGTTCTGTGGGTTATTTATCCAAATCAGGATTTCACAAAAAAAAGACAAAAAGGTTGATACGTTGTTGTTTTATTATTCATGTAACTATTTTCAAAAGTGAAACAATGTGAAAACGAGTGATTCTTGCAGACCTTGCAGAAAGAATTGCTTAAAAGTCCAATTGTTACACCATGAACTTTGTTTCAGCCTTTTCTTATGGGCGTAGTAGCATGACTTTGCTATGCTGATCATCTATCTAAACAAAAAATGAGAGAATGTTTTTAGCATGGATTTAAAGACTCAATTTATGGTAAAATTCTTACAGTTTTGAAATCAGAGAATACAACTTATGAAGAACTCAGAGAGATTCTCGGAGTCAATGTAATATGTGCCAAAATGTGAAAGATTTTGGGCATTGTCAGAATTCCTGGCAATATAAAATAAACATTGCATGCATGTAATCTTATCCAATCACATTTATTTCACACACAACAGTAATTCGGCAATTTAAAAAGTAATTATCAAATTTTTTTTAGTCGTAAAAGAAAAAAATTCCTATCATTACAAGCCACAAATGATGATGAAGCAGTTGCAGTATTTATCAAAAAACAAAAAGAATTGTACCATTATTTCTTCATCCGAACCTAATGTGAATCAATCACCTGAAGTGGAACTTCAAATTCAATTGTTCTCGATTGATAATTGAAAAGCCTTCGCTAGATGGAAATTATCTTAACTAATGCTATCTTCAACTTTATTTAATTTTTTTTAATATGCTTTATACAAAAAATTAAATCAAATTTGTTTACGGTAATCATAAATATGAGATAAATAAATAAATATATATATAAATAAGGGAGAATGATTCCAATTCTAAATTTTCAACCTACAAAATAAATACAAGACTAATTTACAGTAATTTAAAATTTAGAATCGTCTATGGGGAAAAATATAGATACAAAATGCAAATGATGATGATTGAAATGATATGCTATGATATGCTATGCTATGCTATTATGAATGAATATGAGAATGAAAAATGCTAATAATTGAATGAAATGCTTTGTTTATGTGTGTGAGTTTTGGTAAATTTTTTGCTTTTAAAAGGTCTGTACAAAAGAAGAAATCATTATCATAAAACTTTTTTTTTTTTAGAAATTTCGTCATTACTTCTCATCTTTCATTAAATTCTTAACATCAAGTTGTTTTTTAACGATAGACCTTCTCCCTTGCTTTTTGGTTCGTTTTGAATGATGCACAGTATTTATAAGATGATCTGTATAATTGATCCTTTTCGTCATTAACCGACGGTTTTTAACGGACGACTCATTTATTTCAGATTCTGATTGAACTAATGTTGGAGAAAATATACCTCTTTTTTTAGCTTTATAAATAGATTCTATGGCCCATCCAGCATTGTAATTTAATGGCTTTGCGGAGCGAGATTCTAACGAAGATGAGGATCTTGATGTCATGTCGAGTGGTACTGCGGATGTGAACATAGCAGCTATTATTTTTGAAGCGAGAAAGGAATTGTTAGAAGATGAGTTGAAAAAGAAAAAGGGTAATCAGACTGATAAATTAACTTACCACATAAACAAAATAAAAGGATAACTTTATACATTTTGGATTAATCGATTCGAGTGATTGTGGAGATAAGGTGTATTGGGATTAAGTACTTTGAATACGCCAAGATGAGGCAAAAAACAAATGAATGTAATGGAGAATGTAAACTTAAAAGAGCTACCAGAGCTTTGAATTCTCTCAAAATAAATATTCAAAGACTTATGTTGGAAGCACACCTTTTATTGAGGGAGGATAATGGTGGATGATATGAGGAGGAGGCGACAATAAATATGAAATTCTTCAAATTAATGAAAAAAAAAAGTTATTTTTTCATATTCAGTTGATAAGGTTGTAATTTATATAATTTGTCACAATGATGCAGCGTAACACCAATTTCTTTGTTAACTTGGAGCATAAACTCAAAACGTCGAATAAATCTCAGCGATCTATAAAGACTTCCCCCATTTTGGAGTACAAAGAAAATCAAATGTCATATATTACTCGATTCGGTAGGTTACAAAATTAAAATTAAGGTTTCACAAAAATTTAAAAAAATAAATAAAATACTGGTTAACAAAGAATACTCTAACCTTATAAGTCGAGAAAGTTGGCGTTTTGGTGTTAATTAATAATTTTATTTTATTAAATTTATAAGCATTAGAGACCATTCTTTTTGGTAAATTGACCGAAGATGATTAAAAATGCTCAACAAGAAGAAATCAATTTAGGAATTTCGCATTATCAAGATGTTTTGGCGTCAAAATTTAAAAGACAAGGAGAAAGGTTCCTCGAATTTAACAGGAATCTGAAAATATGAAATGATGGATTGATGGATTGATCAATTAAGGTTTTTTTGGTATCTCTTTGTTAGCATTATACAACGATAAAAAAATTTTTTAAAATAATACTTTTCAAACATTAAAATCGCCTTAGAGAATAACAAAGTCCAATTCTTTGTTAAAATGATTTTCATAATGTGTAATACTGCATTTACTGTATTTGGTTTAAAAACAAAAAAAAAAAATACATATTGTACGAACTCGTGGCCATCTAATTGATTTTTTCCCTGCCCTGTTGATTCATATTGACTTTCTGTTATCCAAAAATGTTTAGAATTAACGAGTATTGGAGAGATCTTGGATAATCGGAAATCTTCCCAGAATTTCTAGGTCACAATTAGACGCGCAATAGTTTAGAATACCATTTGGGAAACCTAAAACATCAAACACATGGTAATAACAGAGTAACTTCCAACATTCAAATAACCAGTATCTTTAGGTAGGCCGAATTTGGTTTTTTTTTCGGAGTATGATTGACTGAATTAAAAAAGTTTAAAATTATTGTTTATATTTAATCGGAAAATCTAAAAATCGTACAACTATAAAAATCATACATTACAATTCTTTTTTTGTACTAGATAGTTTTGGGGAAAAAAAATTATATTTCTTTTTTAGTTTTTTACAGTAATGGTATCGCTATAGATCATGAAGCATTATTATTGTGATATATTCAGTCGGCTAAAAAAAAAAAATCTCATGTAATTTCTATATCTTTTGGCTATCAATTATTATTAACGGATTCTTATTATAATGTTATAAACACTCAATCTATGAGTATGATTCATCACTAAAGATATCTTTAGTTTTTCAATTAATATCATTTCTATTTAGTTTCAAATAAAGGAATTTTTTTTGCTATAATGATAATATTTATTATTACACGATTAATATGAGGTTTACTGACTGAAAAAAATAGACATTGACTTATTATATAGCAATGTTTAGATTTCTGAATAAATTTATTAATAAAATAAAATTATTAATTATCGTGTAACGCTAACTATAGGCTATTTAATAAATGATCCTCCATAAATAGTATTGTAACAACAATTTGGAATAATACCTGGGTATTAAATCAATTTTTAAAGAAAAATAAGGAATTTAAAGTAATATACTTAATAATGATTTATATAGAAATTTATAAAATAAAGAATTTATTCTCTTTTTAATACATAATAATTGAAAATAAAGGTTAGAAATAAAGACTATTAACTTTTAAGAAAAATATGCAAAAAGTTATTTATATAAATCCCTTTTCAATATGCTTTCTCATTACTGAATATTCCTATTTTTTGATTTGAATATCTGGTATTATAATAAACGCTATACATTAGGGCAATGACATTTATTAAGTAATATTTTAGGAGGTGAGGTAGGCGGGAATCTTATGTTATACATATATAGTAGTACCAGTCGGGACAAATTCTGGAGTCGACTCAGTCAGGTCGTTAAAGACTTTTCAGTCGACTCAGCCATCAACTGAGTCGAGACTCTCATTTGAAATTAGCGACTATAATTGTATTTAATATCTTAATATTTATCAAAAATTTTTAAAATTTAATTAATGTTGCAAAAAAAATAGAAAATTATAAGTTTCATCATAATACAGTCAACCCTTAATATAACGAATTTTATGTCCTGAACTTCAACTTCGCTATAGAGCTATAGTGAATTTTTTAAAGAATTTGATTGGCTAGTTCGTTATAACGAGAGTAAATTTAATATAGTTGTCCAAAAAATTCGTTATATAAAAATTCGCTATAGAGAGGTATGACTGTAATGTTGACAAGAATCACCATTTGAAGTTTTTATTTAATTAAGAATTTCACAATATTCTGACCTTATATCAAACTTGGAACAGCGACTCAGTCATGGCTCAGTCATTGAAAATTCCGAAGTCGACTCTAAATGATTTTTGCAAAGTCGACTCAGCTGTTGACTCTGATTCCAATGGCTAGTACTACTATACATATATTATTTCATGTGATAATAGTAGCTTAGCAATTTTATAAAAAATTTTTATTTTAGCATACATGAATATATGCATACACAAATATACAAATACATGCATACACAAAAAAAACTAGTTCCTAAAGTATATTTATTCTCTTAAAGGTCTTTCATTTAATAAAGCATTTTCTTTTCTTGTTATGAAGAAAGAAGTAAAAAATTGTTAAATGTTAAAAAACTTTATTCAATTTAATTTTATATTTTCGTTCACAGCTAATAGAATGTCTTATTTGCTTATGATTTATTAAAAAGGCGAGAGTTGAAAAGTATTTCTTATATTCAGAATAGCAAAGACATAAGTAAGTTGCTTTATCAAAAGATAGACAGTGTAAATTATACCTAAGAACTTTTAGGTGATCATAATATTTGAGAAGATATATTAGATTCGTATAATATCTATCTTTTACTTTGGTGATAGGAGGTAAAAAACCATTATTTATTTGAAGAAATTCCATAGTTTTTTTGCATGAGATAGTTTACAACAACTTATATTTGTATATCATTTAATGTCAAGAGAATACTTGCACAAATTATAATGGTTTTCAATTCATAACATGATATAAAACATTCAATTAAGTTAATTATTTCTTCATTCTTTTATTTTGTTTATTTTTCTTTATCTTTTCATTTCAGTTCTTTTGCTTTTTCTTTATCTATACTCTCAAACTGCAGATTTTTGAATAAATTTTTGGATTCTTTGACATACTTAACAATTACATATTTTCCAAAGATCAAATCACGATTTCAAATGTTACAAAAAGTTTCTCTAGCATATTTGAAATTTTAAAGAGCCAATCCTTGATCTATCACTTTATCTTGTGTATTTAAATGTACTTTAAAGTGATTTATTAATAATGTAATACCTGTTAACACACAGATAGTGTCACTATATCACTTCCAATATGATTGTATTTAGACTATCCTAAAGCATAATTTTGTAAACTCAGGTAATCCAAGTCAAATTTTTAAAAAGCTAATAATAGATTTTTATATTTTTTAAATGTCTCAGGTTCTTATCTGATTCTCTGTCTATTTATAGCATTAAGATCAATTGAATTTTCTTATTAAACTTTAGCATATCATCATATTAAACATCTTAGGTAAAACATTTAAGATTCTACATATGCATAAGTAAGGATGTATCAAAGGACCACTGATTTCATATAAATATAGTGAGTTATTCCATTTGTAGATTATCATTTTTTCATTCAGCTTTATCATAAAATAAACTAACTTTTATCCAAATCTCACAGATAAGTTATAATCCATTATACTTATAGATTCATAAATTAATTATAGCATATAAAATATCCATCTTATTGTAAATATATCTAGATCAATCTTTGCTTTATTATCTTGAAAAATAATAATACTTGCATCAGCAAATAGTAAAGTAAATTATTTTACACATTTAACAGATGCAAAGTATTAGTATAATCTTATATTTCTGTATATGAAAATCTTGTTACTACAATCCATATTGGATGATAATGTGTTTTTGTAGTAATTGAATTAGCTTAGTAATATAATAAGTAATTTATTCAGCATTATTTTTTTTATGTAAACATTATAGTTTTTCTTAAGATTCTTATGCGGATTTTTAATTATTCAGACTTTAAATACTTCATTTCTTCTTTTTTCATTAGTTGTCCTAAACTTGATCGAATCATGGATATGATCATATAAATTTAGATGTTTGAAAAGAAGTGAAAGATAACCTAGGTTTATTATATTATATTATCTTCTGATTTTTAATAAGCATTTTCTGCATTTTTGTGTATAAATTACATTTTTTTGTAACTTAATAATTCTCTCTCTATTAAATTTAATTTTGGATTAAAGATCTTCTGTTTTTATGTACACATCATGCTAAAGTTAAGGATTAGTTATAATATTGTAGACTTATTCAAATTTAGTAAGTTTTTTTGTTATTTTATTTATCACTTTATTTTGAGTTGATGTATTAACTAGGATTTTTGATGAAGAGATCTATTAAATGAATAGTAAAAGTAGAAGTTAAAATTGGATTTTTTCAAAATCTAAGATATTTCAGCCTTAAAGTTTATATATTAAATAGATTTAAATAATATAACAAGGTAATTTTTAATTATATTATCAATTTCTGCTTTACTTTTAAATTTAATTTTATTCTATTTTTATACAGCTTCATGATAAACTTTAGAATGGTTAGGAATACAATTTCCTATCT